CTATGTCAACTTCTATGTTAGGTAAACCAGTTAATATATGTAAATACAGAATTGAGCCCAAGTAGATATTCTGAAACACAGTGGCATGTAATGCGTTGTGAAATAAAAATATACTTACATACAAACTGTAGTAGAATTGACCCATAAATGGAAAACCGACAGGAGGTTTTATAGTCGGCGATATCAAATCATACAGGTTTTGTGCTGTATCACGAGTAATTCGTCCATCTGCTGTAGAGTCTGTTACTGCCTTATGGTACGTTAGTCGTAACTTGTTATCTTCAACCTCAATACCAAACGGGAACAGTATTACCTCTGAAATATGTTTATGTTGTTGAATTAAACAAAATACTACCTCAGACATTCAGACAGACATTCAGACAGACATTCAGAAAGAAAGAAAGAAAGAAAGAAAGAAAGAAAGAAAGAAAGAAAGAAAGAACAAAGGGAGTATTTACCATAGCAGTTGAAACCATTTCCTCTATGTCCATCGATGCATGTACACGTATAATTTCCTTTAGTGTTTTGGCAGATGGCATTATCATCACATTCATCTGTCTCTTCATAACATTCATCAATATCTAATAAGTAGGAAAATAATTAATAATTGAAAAATAATTGTAGCCTAATGGATGTCATAATCTGTGAGAAATATTAAATGATGGAGGCCTGTAATTGAAAAAATAAAATATTACAAATAGTAATTGTAAACAGCATAGCCTGAAACCATCATCGTTTAATTGTGAATGCTGAATTTAACTGTACTCTGTCAGTAAAAAGACTGATCCAACTTATCAATTGCACTTCTAAAACCCGTGACATTAATAGTTCATCCTATTATTTTGTAAAACACTTTGTTTATGTTTGTATGTGTGTATTAACTTGTCTATTAATTGAAAATATTTATTGCGTTACATCTGAATTATGTGTCTGGTGTTTTTGTGTTTCATCTCCGTATCAGTTCAGTTCAGTATTTACAACTGAGGAAATAAAATGTATGCATGTCAGTGTTGAAGAACATGCAGGTCTTTGTCTACTTGAAAGTATGTGAAATATAAATCCATTATTGGCACATTGATGCTGGTTTTAGTGGGGACTCATTTCATATGGAATTCAGGTTTTATATGATGTGTTTGCCAATACTGACTCTACGTGAATCGTAACACATAAATCCCCGTGATTACATGAGCGTTTATATAAAATTGGTATGAAAGATACAGTCCATTAGTCGACTTAAACATTTCTTAATATATACATTCCCAGGAATATTATTTAATCACAAAAAATATATTTGTAATAGTGTTTTAATGTGCAGAGAATTGTTTGAAATAAATATTGTGTGTATAATTATTGTATAATTAATACTCGTGAACTGCAATACTATACCTGTTTCACAGTTCGTACCAGTCCATCCAAGTAAGCATATACACGAATATTGATTGATTTCATCAATACACTCTCCATTTTCACAGGGATTTGATGCACATTCATTTATTTCTGTAGCAGCAATAACATGAAGATAATGGTCAGACGTAGTCGATTTACTTACGGAAGTTACGCACATTACAATTTCAGAGAAATATTTGTATTTGTCGGCTAGAATCTGAGTAGAATTATTACATTTATCAATTTAACTAATTATTAATTTAACTACATAGATAATTATACTTATGATACCAAGATATTTTTGTGACATTTATGCTTTGATTATTATTTGTTGAGACCTTGAGTTCATTTCTTACTTGGCAGTGAATATTTACCAGATTTGTGGTGATCAGTGAATGGCGCCACATTTTGTTCACGTCTCAGGTATATGTGGATTTCTGCGTCGTTTAATACCAGCAACAACAGAATTGAACACTAACTCACGAAACGCGAGTGATGCTTTGAAGGAGCTGATAAAACGATTATTTTGTGGTAAGTTGTACATAAAATACAATATTGTTCATGAAGAAGATGTCTTAGAAGATACACTTATATACAAAACAGTGTTTATGAACTTGCATTCGGCTGACGTTTGTCTTTGATGTATAGGTCGACACCCTAACTTGACCTGATATGACCTCTGACTCCCCTGAATACAGTGGAAGTGTTTTTCGTCGTCTGTTTCAACTGGATTGGGTCCCTGCAGTGGTTAGCTGAACTATATACAGTAACTGTAATAACAGTATATCTGACCATTGTTGACTTTTACTATAATATTGATGGCTATCCAGTGAACATTGCGTTCCTTGTTTTAAGACATTGTAGAATTCCTTTGTCTTGTGCAGGCACACGAGCGATAGTTGTGTATAAGTGGTCCATTAGTGGGATTTGGATATCAGTACAGTATTTTCTCAAGGTGTGATACTTTACATGTTAATTATGATCTCTACTACTGAACCAATTATTTACCCTGAACACAAAGATGTATTATGCGTATCAGTACCCCAATGTTTGGACATTGATGGGTTGTTTTGTTAATAATTTGGTGGCCCCAGTTGATTTGTTTCTGTGAACCCGAGAAACACGACTTTGCCTGTTGCCATTTATCTTAATTGGGCCTCTTGTATGGAAGTTTTAGTTACACATAGTCCGATTTAAGTATTTCCTATACAACGTATAGACAATGGATATACTCTGGTATTTTTACCAAAGTAAACATAAAGTTGACCTGGTCATCTTTCAAATCACGTACTACCAATTTTACTTTTTTTCAGGCTATTAAATATACTGTGGAATAAACCTCCAACAAGATCGAGACTTACCATTACAGTTGTGCCCGTTATCAATGAGTGCATACCCATCTATGCAGCTGCATGTAAATCCTCGGTCATCAGTACTTCTCAATACATTATGGCAGATATGCTGACAGTTTGATAACATAATTAAACATTCATCTACATCTAGACGTACGTATATAATCAGATAAAACAATAGTTATATGATCGATGTGATTGATAAGATTGATTGATTGATTGATTGATTGATCCATCTGTGAATTGTAATATTGATGAAAACGCAGCTTTTGTTTATAACTAAAGAGTCCATGTACTTGCGATGTAATTAATATTTGTGAAATCAATACTATACACAGCTTCCAATTATTTGAACTGGGCAATGCGAACAATTTGAATGTAGAGTTCTACATAAATATATTGAGATGTACATACCTCCCTGACAATGTGTATCAGTCCAACCACGACCACAGTTACATTCATACCCATTGACTTGTTCAATGCATGTACCATCATTTTGACAAGGCATACTTTTACACTCAAGCACATCTAATAATATTGATAATATTCATTTAAAATTGTTAGGCAAGCAGAACAAATAAGAGTAATTCTCCAACATATCACCTTCGTTAACATATATAATGTGTTCTATTTTTACACAGACCCGATTCCATTACTGTCAATCACTGCCATATGCTATATACGTCACTGTTGGTAACTTACATAGTTAATTTTAATTTGGCAAGTTTAACACGAGGAACTTCAGAATTACAGGGTGACGCCTACAGCGGAAGATGATCAAAATCATAAGAGTGTCATCAATCGCATTTAAACAAATAATAATAGGCAGCGACTTAATTACTGACAAGATGCGGTTATATTATGGGGCCAAGTTTGTGCTCTCCGAAATTTTCAATTTAAAGTAGCTTGGTGAACAATATAGTAAATTTACCTTCATCACATGTTATTCCTGTAAATCCGTCGAGGCAATGACAAGTGTAAGTTTCAATACCATCAGTGCAGTTGCCATGGACACATGGTGATTGTTGACACCAATCAATATCTGTTATAAATCAATATAAATCAAATCAAATCAATAATATTGAAACGATGGAAACGTACATTGGTTGGTTAACATAATTTTGTCTTGAAGAATTACAATGATACCCAAGTACTCAGCTGACTCACTAAAATGTATGTAAAGTTTGAAGGAGACAATGCAGGTTAACGCATGAATTTAAGGTATTTTATCAAATTACAGTCAAAGCACGCTAACGACCTCGAGTATCCAAGATTATTGTAGTAAATGTAATCTCAATTCTCTTGTGCTTTCAAGATTATTTCAACTCGTTTAGACAACAAATGGTTGTTGGTGGAATTTTGGAAGAACGTCTTAAGCTTGAAATATTAATTAAATGAAATAAAGCTTGTATATTAACATCATTGGATGATATCAACTACATGAACTCTAAAATAACATAAACAAATATATTATGACATGAAGTGTCAATCGTATAATGTCAAAGGGTGTAATCAATATTTGCTTTTCAAAATATATGTTTGCAATATTTGGAAGCATCGAACGAGCTTTAATTTGAAGCCCTTTTTTTGATACTCAGTATTGAGATATATAACGAACATATTTACAAGTTAGAATTAGACATACTGTTAATACTAAGGCTCAGTTATATCGATAAAGATATTAAAATACCTATTTACCCAGTACTTACAATGTTGTCACAATTTTTACATTTACAGGCAAATATATATGCTAATCACAGTACTTAGTATTAATCGATCCATTTCGTGAACGACTACTAAACTACTCACTTAAAATAAGGGTCATACAATTACATAGAACATTTTTGCAATACACTGACACGATGACCCGTTAATAGATTCAACATACAATTCTGGAGTTTGTTTAAAAATCATATATCTTACCTTCTTCACAAGAAACTCCGTCATAGCCTTTACTACAAGTACAGTAAAAACTACCTTCTGTGTTCGTGCATATTCCGTGGTTATTACAGTTTTCATAGTAACATTCATTGATATCTTAAATAAACCAATACAACTTTAACATTATATAACTTGGTTGTAAATAATTTTAAAAGGACTGTACTATTAATATATCCAACCTAAATCGACTAACAATTAATATTTAATACTGTAATACACTTAGGTAATATTTTAAAATGTTTTGTTTGTATATTTACCAACACAAGTTCTTCCATCAGATGCAAGTATATAACCATTAGGACATAAACAGTTGTATGATCCTTGTAAATTCCGACATCCGTCTTTATACGAGCATCCATTCGTGGATTCATCTGAACATTCGTTTATATCTAGTATAAAATATAGTGACACATTGTTTACACTATTATTATTTAATTATGCCAATAGAAGTGACTGAAAACGACAATTTGACTTCTACAAGAGGGACATTACATTACTCCCGTTTCAATCTCGCTCTCGCTTAAGTGTTCCAACTGCAAATGCGCATGCCCGAGGTAACTAGGATACTGGAATGTCAGGTGGTATGCTCACAATATGATGGATTACGATAACTATATTTTCGGTGTATTACATTTTTTCACTATAAATGTGGTAATACATGTTTTATTGTTTTATTATTAACTGCCTATGTCATGTCAGAAGGTCGTAGCATCAGTCTCGCTACCTATGAGATGAGACTTGAATGTCACCATACAGTACTATGCGCGTTGCAAACCCCAAGTAATGTACCTCTGCTTCTACCCATTCATATCAACATGTTCAAATTACTTTCTCTTTGAGCTAACTACAATATTCACATATATCTATTGTAGTCATTCATGAAATAACTTGTTTGGTTACTGTGTGGTTGGAATAACTAACCTTGACAGAGCCAGTCAATGCTTTGGTGCAAACTGTAACCACTGTCGCAGTTGCATTTGGCTTGATTTGAGTCATCTAGTACGCAAAAACCTTTCATACACTGTTTTGGACAAGCTGAATGACCTACAAATTAAAAGTTTGTAAAATAATATATTATGCAGTAGTTTCACATATACATAGTATAATATTATAATTATCATTATACTTACCTATGATGGTGACAGTGAAGGAACACGACGCAGTGTTGAAGCTTGGGTCTTCAAACATGTAAGTAACAATCGTTTTTCCGACAGGAAAATTGCTTGGTGAGATGTGTGAGGCAGATATTTGAGTTACAGTTCCAGAATTATCAGTGGCAGAAGCAGAATTCCATGTGACACCTTCTGCACTGAGTGTACCAATATCTGCATCCTGTCTTATATCAGCTGGACAAGTTACGACAGGTGGTTCATTGTCTGTCATTGGAATAGAAACGATAGCGATAATAATTGACAAACAAAAGACCTACAATGCCTGTAAACTGTTGACGGATTACGGTTTCATATAACACATTTAATAATATCTAACTGGCCTTGTAAGAGATTTTATCGCAGTGATCTCACTATGAGAACATATAATTCCTAATAACAACCAGTGTAAACATCAACTGATGCCTTGTTATGTACGTAATATTATAATCAAAAAGAACTATTTGCATGTTAATGTGTTAACCATAGAAATAAACAGTTTGATATGTTTCAACAATCGCTGGTTGGTGCAGTCAACTGTTTTATCAAGCTGGCTTTGCAAAATGTTGCAATCACTGATAATTGAAAACATTATCAGTATAAAATGCAGTAATTGATATAAGCTTAATATATGATG